AGTCTAAGAACGCATCCGGATTTTACTTGGCTATATCTTGCAATAATGCACGAGCTCATGGAAGCGGCTAAGTCACTTCCCATATAGAAGCGTAATACTGTACATGTAGTGGGCTGCCGGCCGCAGCCAATTTATTCGGAAACGGCCTATTGAACTACGATACATTGAGGGCGCTGTTACAGAATGTTGTTCTTCGTGAGGCGATGAAATGCCGGTGGGAGCAGTAAATTATACATAATGGGAAAATTCCTTGAGAAAAAAAATTGTACTGGACTCTGGACTTGAAAGTAGCCATTTCGATGAATATCATCCACCCACTCACAGCCTCGTGAGGCAACAGTCTCATTGCGTTCGAGGAAGGACAGTGTGTGCTGCGAATCCCGATAGACCACTTGCTAAGAGCTCCCTCATTGAAGACATTTTTTTCCACTGATGGGCACTGATACGCACTGTTAGACACCTTGCACTTTCATCGTCACTGAATTTAAATACAATGTAACAAAACCTGTCCACATGAGGGCGCTCTATTATAGCGCAAACTCTGTCAATTGCAACATACTTTCACTGCACATTTTTCACTATCTGTATAGGCTCCACCAGGGGCAAGTTCGCGTAAGAACTATTGTTGACCATTGGTTAACCATAGTTCGACTAAAGTTTGCCCGAACTCTGTCTAGTCGACGATGGTTGACTACGTTAGTCGACTATTTCGAACCAAGTGGGGCTGGTTGCATCGCTGGTAACCAATAGCCGTGCGCATTCATAACGTACAGCAGGAAGCCAGGATCCAGAAGTTTTGCGATGACATTTTGACCAGCGTTTGACTAGAGACGCTCGCACGTTGCTATTAGTGCTCAGGCGTAAGGTACGTCACAAATCAACCACTAGTCGACTAATAGTCCTTGGCAGAACTTGGCCTATGTTGACTGACGTTCAACCTCCGCCAATAAATGAGTGGGGGCGCTATATAAACGTAAGGAAAGGAGCAGTGCTTTGCTTGGTGGAATTGAGAGCAAAAGATTTCGTGCGTTCCTAAGAACCCGTGGCAAGATCAGGACCCTGTCATGTTCCCAGGGGAAGATTGTAAAGGCCAGAGATGGCTTGCTCATGTAATTACGGCCCACATAGAAGTCATCCAGAGATCACTCCGGATGATCAATGTATTTTATGGTTTTATTAATAACCCCACCGTGCCCCACGCCCGAGGGGAGACACGGGATGAAAAAAAGGGCCTCTGACTTCTTCATCATCTGCTGAAATGAAATTTGACGAATTTCATGACTTGGCCGATTATCCAGCTACCCTTTCCTACAACCAACCCATGGGAAATCGATGTTTCTTGCCCGGGTCTCGACTATCATTGCCGCTATTATGCTTTTCAAACCCCGCCGCAAATTGCAATTATCATCCAGCATAAGAAGACTTCAACTGAAATGGATGCGGTCCAAATTGTCTCTTGATCGTTTAAGCTCCCCCGTAAGTAGGAACTGCTTTTTTCTTTCTTTCTTTTTTAAATCGGCTGTCAACGAACCAATTGGAACATAAAAACGATTATTGTCTCCCAAGGACAAGTCATTAAGATATGCTTGAAAGCGCATATTTTAATATCAACGGGGATTTTATTAACTCTTTTCTCTAGTTTTATAGCCAATGTGTGCATTTTAAATGAGCTTTTCACTCGGTGATGGACGATCGTTGGCCGTGTACGGGCAATTAACGGGTAAATCGAGCAGAAAGCAAGATACACATCATGGCTTCGGTTCTACCCCCATCCCCATCGACGGGGGCAGATTAAGAGCCACAGGGGAGGCTGGCAATAAAATGAATGAGTTTGAGATACAATGTTCCTCAAACAAACAAAAAACAAGTTGAACAAATACTTTCGTTTGAAATATGAAGTGGTATTACAATTTTGGCGGATCAGATATTTGATCAGTTAAAAGAAAAAGAGAAACATAACGATTGATTGCTCGTATCAATGATTGATCGTATAAAATTAATAAGATATTTAACAAGAAGGTTAACACAAATGCCCCCAGAAAAAAATCTCTTGAATGGGTTTAACTCGAGAGATTACAAATGTGTGTACTTCTTGATTTTCATGACAATGAAATTAACAGCATGAGAGTATTTTTTGCAAGATCAAAAATGATGAGAAATTACATAACGTGTGCAGGTGAAAGCAACAAGTCTTCCATATTTCATATTTACCAGCAAACTTCGAAGTCAGCAGATTTGTAAATTAACATCGATGATAAGTCTAGCATCTTACGCTCTTGATGACATTGCTGTGAATTCTCCCTGGCTTTGAGAATCGACTTTTGTTCCATCGATCGGGTGGACAAATTAAATACGCATAATCATCACGGGCGGAATCATTCCTTTAGGGGGGGAGGAGAACAAGGGCTACGCCCCCCCCCCAAAAAAAAAAAATCCCAAGTGCTATTTTAATTTTTTTTTTATGACAATGTTGTTGCTACTTTTCCTGTCCTAATATAGGTTTTCCCGGCCAATTTCCTAAAATGTTCATTCACTTCTGAAAATCGGTCATTCATTTTCGTCTGAATTTGAGAATCGCTCTGAACACGCGTTTCATCTTCGCTATCAGAGCATTCGATTCCGTTTCAGTTCAATCAATGAAGTAATTGAGCAGCACCTTTAGTTTATCCATTCCGATTCGTTTACAAGAATTCTTTTTCGCTTTTAGAGGGCGATTTCAAACATTCGCCATTCTATTTCACTTTTAGTTTAATGCCATCGCGGCACCAGGTACAATTAGGGGTGTCTTGTTCATAAACCGTCAATCAAATTAGCTGTACCTGAAATCAATTTAGAAAAGGTATGCTTGCGAAAATGAATGCACAGGTAACGTAATTGGCTGTCTGTTTCTCAAAACCGAATGCACGGAAAATGAAAACGATTGAACTTTCGTTGAATTGAAATGGGATTAAAGACGTGCATTCAAATCCGACGAAAACGAATGACCGATTTTCTGAAGTGAATGAACATTTCAGGAAATTGGCCGGGAAAACCTATAAAACATATATAGATAAAAAACGCAACATTGAGAGGGGATGTCCATTCTAACTTTTATTTCAAGTCTATGTGTGATAACGCTAAAATTAACAACAGGAAATGTTAACACACTAAATAGGCAGTATACTATGAATACAATGCTGGAAAGTAGGTGCCCCAGCGCAGGGGAAGGTTTGTGCATGGTAAAATTGTACAGAGAAAAGGGAATGGATAAAACTATTTCATTATTGCAGGTACATACGTTCTGATAGGATTTGTTGATTTCAATCATTAGAAGGGCAAGAAACAATTTCTATACTTAGCTGTTCTATCACATTTAAATTAAAGGTGATAATTAAAGCCCTTTTACGGAATGACGCTTTATTTTTAAAGTCTAGTCTAAAATGGGCACAGTGAATAAGTTCCTATATAATCATAATTATTTACAATATTACTTTTTAATTGAATACATCGATCAAAGTCTTCTTTAATAAACATCAACCGGCATTTCTTGTCACAAAAACATATTCAAATCAAAATGTTCATGACGAGTTTTTGGGTTCCCAGACTTCACGGCACTGTGTCATTAAAAACGCATCGTGGGCACCGGTCTACTTTTTTTACTCCGTGCCAATTAGGTATTTCCAAAGCCACGGCTTCGTCTCTGTTCGGCTCCTCGTAAAAAAAGGGTTCCTGACTTTGTGTCATTGTTCTGGTACGGGTACATTGAATCCAATAATATGAAACCAAAATTGTAAGTATTTCCATTTGGGTTTTATAATGTGTATCTATAAAGCGCACGTATCCACCAATATTGGTGCTCAAGGCGCTACATCATTATTACCCTGCTCATTGGGCTAATGAAACATTCCAAATACCGTCTCAGCTCCCTGGGGAGTATACAGCTCGATGCTGCCATTTCGGCGCAAAGCAGCTAGAATCAACTACAACATATCATCTCTGCCCTCACAGGTACCCAATTTACTCCTGGGTGGGGAGAAGCAATGAGTGACAAAGTGCCTTGCCCAACGGCACACGCACCATATCCCCAGGCTGGACTCAAACCCACAACCTGCAGAATTACCCACAGACCACGAATTTAATGCTTCAGACCACGAGGCCACGGCACTTCACGAAATTTGATTATGGAACCCTGGATACAGCCGACGCCGAAACGGCACCGATGTTTGATAAACCATCATTTTTTTTCTCCAGTTTGAACAAGAAGATAAAGTGCCTACTGCATTAATCTAAAACCTCGAAATCAACAACGAAAATACAGGGAGTAATAACAGGCTTTATTCATATACCAATCATCTAAAATTTCTCCCTCCCCCTTATATTGTAAATGGTCCTAGCTAGGGCGATTGCAAAACAGGATTAACATAGTTGATTATCTAGAGTGTTTTCCCTTTCTTGCTCACTCATGAGCGACGCATTTCCCATCGCATATGCACGTTAATGAAGTAATAATTCCCTTGGTTGGTGATCAATACCCTATAATGGTGGGCTCATGTAGCCGACCTTCCCGCTGATGATTACATATTTTCTTTCCAAGGCTGAAATTGGATAAAACATAACCCTTTCTTTTCTAATTACTATACTATTCTTCAAGTACATGAAGTTTATTCTGCTTATTAAGACAAGTAATTTTTTTTCTTTCAATTTATGACGAATTCTAAAGTGCAATTACATCTACGGAACTATTATGTACACACGGAGCCCGTCTCGAAAGTGGTTCCAAGACTGCATAAAGACGATCGCAATTTAAATGTGACCATTACATCATGGGTACCAGTCTACTTACTTTAGTCATGATGTAATGGCCACTGTAACAGTCACAAAATTAAGCATGTTTATATTATGTCAGTAAGCGAAGTATTCTTAATTTAAGACAATTAATAAGACATACACTGATAAATCTTCCCTTTGAAACGAAAACATGTGGCATTGAAGAAGTATTAAAACACAAAATGCCATATATGCCACTTCATTTTTTAAATCAGCCTATATTTAAGTTTACGATACCCGAGGGCAAAACATACGATTCATATGCGTTTATCAATTTCAATTTCAGTTATGTTTTTTTTTTTTTTACAATTTCAAGTTTTCAAGTTTATATGCCAACAACTGCTCATTCCCCCAGTGATTTAAATTAACGCTTTGAGGTTGGATGGGTAGTGATGTACATTTAACCGTTTCCCTCGCTTGATTATGGTGATTTCCGTGGTTGTTCAGTCAAACGGTTCTGTAAAAGGAAGAAACAAAAAGTCAAAGTAAAAGTAAATTTTACCATAAACAATGTCTTCAACATTATTAACATCCAGACGATAAACCAATTCACCAAGCCCCCCCCCCCCGCACTGCACACGTTGATCGACAGTTGCGCAATTACTACTGTGATTGGTCGGAACATCGTGGCGGGGCTTAATAAATCAGTTTATGAGTTCCTATTGGCGGAAGAAATCTTGTGATAATCACCACAGTTGACTGATGACGAAACTGGGCTGTTTACCATCACACATGAAGGTGTTTCTTGTGACATGGTTTAATAAACTTTAGCCTTCGTTCAGTAATTTGAGCTGCGCGTATGCGTTAATGTTTGTACTGTTAGTTTTAGCTGTACGTTTCTTGTAAACAGATATATGTTGGTTTTTTTTTTATTTTTCAGACGTTATACTTTGGAAGTGCTAAAAACTGGGGTTACATTATCAGTAATACAATGAAGCGCTAGCAGTTCCTTTTCTTCGTCTAAAATGCGTTTGTATTGCACCAAGGCACTGGAAGCAATTTTTGATAAAAATGCACGAGCGTCGCCAGACCAATATTGAACCATTAGAAATGGTTTAAGAACGGGATACGTGTGCGGCTCGGGAAAAAAACTAGCTGGTTATATATCACCACTTTGTGTGATTATTTCACCGAACTCACATGCATAACGTCTCAACATTTTGATATGAAATAACCACTAGCCGCATACGTCTCCAGATCCCGTACGTGTACAATTTCTAACATGGCTCCTATTATTAACGACAAACTACTCCATATAGGCAGAGATTATTTCCCCAGCAAACCGGCCATCGGAAAAAAACAGTATGAAGAGGAGAGGGGTTGGGCTGGACACCATATCACCATTAGGGCTCTGCTCAAGGCGGCCTGCACTGGACACTATGGACAATATGTCGTATAGACACACAATCAGCCTAGAAGTGAACAGTTTTACCGACAGTAACGATAAATAGGGGGTGGGGGGTTGCACCCACCACAGCCCCCTCTAGCGACACAGATGAAAAGAAATGCTGTGGTTGTGTGTTGAAATGACAGCAGCCTTGATATGCGACTAGTTCATCAATCTCCTTGGGACTTAAAGCACGTTAACGTATAGCTTATTATGAGTACGTTTATATCATTCCCGCCACGGAAATGAGACAATTTGCGCGAGCCAAAATGAATCAGTCGAGAAGTATCGTAACTGGTTTTCAGCAAGGATTAAAGCATGGAGAGGCTAATCGTCCTTTTGATTTCCACCAAGATTCGTTTTCATCGTTATTAGATTGGCTAATCTATTAAAAGCTCGCTTGAGACAGGCCAATTTCATTTTAATACGCCACATTATTTTAATGCCTTAGAAATGCCTCTTTCAAATCCCAGTGAGGCGCTTTTTGATATGCTCGACAACCCTTGCTAATAAAAATGCTGAATTTTATAAATCTCAATCAGTTTTGGCTCATTAGTTTTTGCTCATTTAAAAAAAAATTACTTTTAATATAGGTTTTTCCGGCCAAGTTTCTAAAATGTTCATTCACTTCTGAAAATCGGTCAGTCATTTTCGTCTGAATTTGAGAATCGCTCTAAATATGCGTTTCATTTTCGCTACCAGAGTATTCGATTCCATTTCAGTTCAATCTTTTAAGTGATTGAGCAGTACCTTGCGTTTATGTCCAATCACATTCGTTTACAAGACTTATTTTTCGCTTTTAGAGGGCGATTTCAAAAATTTACCATTCTATTTCGCTTTTAGTTTCATGCCATCGGCACCAGATACAATGAGTGGTTTCTTTTTCATTAACCGTCATTCAAATTAGCTGTGCCTGAAATCAATTTAAAAAAAAAAAGGTATGCTTGTGTAAATGAATGCACAGGTAACGTAATTGGCCGTCTGTTTCTCAAAACCGAATGCATGGACAATGAAAACGATTGAACTTTCGTTAAATTGAAATGGGATTTAAGACGTGCATTCAAATTTACACGAAAACGAATGACCGATTTTCAGAAGTGAATGAACATTTCACGAAATTGGCCGGGAAAACCTATATACCTGATTCTCGGCATCGTGTTTTTCTAATTCGAAAGATGCAAGGTACCTTTTTGTTATTGACTGCAGAATACACCATCAATATGAGGTAATAGCCATTCAGGAACTAAATTTGAGTATTAAACATCTGGCAACTTAACTTGCTCGAATGCTTGGCACGTTTTAACTTTGAATTCTCCAGACCAAAGAGACCGTGGCTATTTCACGTGATTCGGGGTAAGCCTAATATGCTGGCAACCCCCAGCCCCGGAATGGTCTGGTGTCTTTGAGCCATTCTCACCCACTGTGAATAATGTATTGACGCTGAGCGTCTCTTACGTAACTTTGCAAGAGCTTGCCCCGAATTATGTGATATAGCAACAGTGTCTTTGGTCTGGAGAATTCAAAGTTAAAAACGTGCCAAGCATTATGAGCAAGTCAGTGTACCAGATGTTATTCAAATTGGACTCGCAAAGGGTATAGGTTATTCGCAAATGGCCATTCGTTCAAGTTATTAAAATGAAAGCCATACGGAATCGTGCAAGCGTCCTACAATCAAGAGCAAGTAATGAGGTCAGGAAGTATACGTGTGGAATATCGATAGTGTAAAGCATTTCAAATGTTTTTTCTTTCACAAAATTTGGGCTTTAGAAAATCAATAAAATAATGTTCAGTGTTAAATGTTCTACAGTGTGCATTGGTATCCTTTACCAAAAAAAAAGTCTGATCAGTTTCTGGACACTTGAATATGAACTGATGTTTAATTGATAAATGTTAAAATTGCTTAATACGTAAATACATTTCATTTTCTCATTCTTTTCAGTTTAATCTGCATGTGGATTAAGAAGTAATTTTCAAAATGTAGTTTAACATTTTAAGCCTGTTCATCTTACTTACGTCAAATGTTGACTTGTGTATTTCTGTGCAGGCACTGCCCTATTAGAGACAATTTGTTGCGCGATTATTTGATATGGTATAATAATCACCTATATTACCTCATAATATCTATATTGACCTATAACTATAACCCACCTGCCGGGTCAATATAACCCACCTGCTCGGCTAACCCAATCACCACTTGGGCTGGTTGAAGACCAGGCCTACTTGGCTGTATTTGCAGGTGGCGTCGTACTGCCGGCCGTCGGCCACGCAGAAGGTGTACATGGGACAGCGGCAGTTGAAGGTACTCTTCTCGGCTTGTTTGCAGACCTGTACCTTGCCACAGAACTGTTTGAGAGTGAGGAGAACGAGCACTGACATAAATGGTGGGCACTACTGGGGAAACACGAGGCATTTGTTGTTATTTTCGTGAGGTTCTTAGAATAGTTCGGAAGTGCAAGAATGCACTGAAAAGCGCGGTTAAAAAAAGACGGAGAATCAAAACGACAGTTCACAGGATTGATGAAGACGGCAAGGAGAATACTGAGCTTGTTGGCTTGTGTTTCTTAGTAATGGAGTGGAATGTAACGAGGGACGGTTATTGATAGACGCAGGATCACGAAGGCACAGAACAATCAGCGATGCGCGTATTCATTTTAATAAGTACCTATAGTCATGACACTAAGTCTATTAACAACAGACAAGGATAATGACAGGCAACTATTAAAGTTATGTAAGCGCAAAATTGTATTCAGTGTTGGAAATGCTCAGACCGGTTTTAGCGAAAGTTTTTTTTTTCCAAAAGTTTTTGCGAGGCATAACTTCAAGTTGCGAGAACTGGTTTCGCGAAACTTTTACACAAAGAAACGTGTATGCGGAATCTTCTGATTGATAAGGAGGGCACATCTATTGGTCAGCCACAAGGGCTTCGTAGGGTTTCGACTGTTTAGAGGAGGATTTCTGAAGTCTGGATATCTTCAGGTGAAGGTAAAAGTCAATAAGACTTCAATTCCTTTTGCTTTTTATTCTGTCCGAAAAACTATTTAAAGTTCTGTTTTATGCAATATTTGATCATTTCCCATTGCCTCCAATTGGCCTTGTTCGAATGCCAAACTTTAAAACCCAACAGATAACTGACCAATAATTGACAGTTTCAGTAAGCCCCGCCAAATGCGCACAGGGCAATAAACGCGTGTTTCTCGCAAATGCCACAGAGCATGCTCCAGTCGCGCGTCAAACGCGCGTGCACGCCCGTCGAACTTGTGTGCACGCGTGTCAGACATAAATCACGGCTGTGATTGGTCAGAACACCATTGGGCGGGGCTTTAATAGATCGAGCGGCTCACACGATGTCCGTCCGGGGGTTCGCAGAACTGTTATATTGGTACGCACGAGCGGCCAGGAACGGCGTAATGTAGTTATCAATGGCTGAGAGATCAACGGTGGCTAATCGGAGTCGGCCACCCTTTGCCGTACCACGGGAGCGAAGGACCAAGAGGTTACTAATTCAGACCATTACACACAGACCGTTAACTCTCGGGGTATGTAGACGGTAATGTCTGATGAGGCTAGGCAGGTGGAAAATAATTGTGTCGATGACCTTGAGGAAGTACAGCATTTCCGTTATTTTCAACAAAAAGTACAGAAATAAAAACTATTTTGCAAGGAAAATAGCGTCAGAAACAGAAAACAGTTTTCAAAATGTAAATTGTGTTACAAATTGTTGCTGCTTTTGATGAGCCATAGAATATATCCGGAAAAACAAAATTCTCAGAACTTGTTTACAGCATGAAGCAATAAGACACAGTAAGCAGCAGCACAACCAAATCCTTTGACCCGAAATAACGCCCAAACAGCCCATCGCTTCCAGCGTGACAGATGTCTAGAATTGGTCCTTTTCCGGCCCAACACCGTATACAGGGAATCACGATTTTGTCAGTCATGGCGTCCACCCACTGGATTTGGTGGAGCCTGAGGAGGTATACGATGGAAGAAAAGGAAGCGACAAGTACAGTGACGCCCAGATCAAAGTACCAAACTTATACACGATGTTTTGCGTGCCGCTGTCGCCCGCGAGTCACACGCGCGCATCGCGCACTCCAGTCACCGTGAAATTATCATCCGTTAGCCTGAGGTGTCGCTGCCCACAGCTCAACTTCCGGGTTAGCCGTTTCGGGCTGGTGGTACGTTTTGCTTTTAATGAGATTCTGTTTGAAAATAAGTTTGCGGTGACGTTCTGTTAATTATTTTGTTATTTTTGACTACTTCATTCAATTCTAATGGCAGGCTTTGGTTACAAAAACACGGTCCAAACCACACAGTCGTGTTTTACTATACTCTCGAGGACAATGCTTTGTCTTTTCCTTTGTCCCTGTAATATAACACTCTCCCATAGACTAAGCACACAAACGCACGACCGGGGACCGATTTCAACAAAAGATGAACTCTCGAGGACAACAAAGAATCTGTTGTTCTCCCTTTGTCTGTCTGTCCTCGGGGTGTAGGCCTATATAGTTCACGTACAAATGAGTTTCGTATTGTGGTAACAGTCCCATGACAAACTTACCAAATAAGTATCGAAGTGCGGAAGACTGTGCACACAGGTTTACTGTAGCCACACCTGTTCCCTTTGAAATACTCATTGAAAAGATTCAAACGTGTATTTAAAAAAGTTCATGGAATAATCCAAGTGTGGTCCTTTTTTTAATAGAGTGTGTAAGGTGACCTCAAAAACCTTCGAGATTTTACGGGAAAACAGTACATCCAGGCACCATGCATAAAATCTACAACGCGTGTAACATCCCATTCTTTGCATTCAACGTTTTGTGCCCTGACTAGGCTGTAAGATGGAATCCGTGAAAAGAAAGAAATAATTACAATAATTTACTACTTATTGAACATTTTGAGAATGGATGATGACTATAATAGAATGATTAAATGTTCACGTCATCTTCTGTTTAATCGATCACGCAGATAACTAATTGGGCAAATTCTAACACGGGAGTCTGTGACTAGAATAATCAGTGTTAAATTTTCAAGAACTACATGACTTGCACGATCTATTGTTAATTTTTTTTGAAGGTCTCTCGAAAATAAAATTACACGATTGTGTATTTATACAGCACCTTTAAAATTGAAGAAAATATGAAGTATATCAGTAAACACGACATTTATCAAATCTTGACTCATAGATGTCCACTTTCCTTGCATGATTAATCTCTTCCCTTCTCAAACTTTCTCTTTTTATAACTGGTTTTCGACGGAAATTTACGATGACAATGTTAAGATCTGATGAGGACTAGCCACAACCAACATGTCGAAATCGTATAAAATGCTGCTTTGTGTTGACTATGTCTATGGGGTTGTTTGAAGTGTACACAGGAAAAGCACGCAGAACAGCATGCGTGCGCTTTCCATTTCGATCGGAGACGACTCATGAATGTATAAAACGCACTATAAACACAAGGGTGTTAAAACTAAACAAACCGTGTCAATGCAATCACTCCCGTTGTTTATGATTAGTTGCGTATAAACCCCGCAGGTTGATTTGAACTCAAAAGTTTGCAGGATATCCGATAAATAATGTATCACGCGTGGTTCTGAAGGGAATGCCCTTTTCGTGATTAAAAGGTGTAGAAAGCCCTTTGGCGGAATAGATATAGAATGTAATATGATCGCACGACGCTCGCGCGTTAATTACGAGCAAAATGGGCGTTCGCGTGATAATATCGAGTCAGCGATTTTAACCCGAATGAACTTTGACCGGGACTGTCTGCATCAATACCGAACTGGCTTTTTGTCGTCTCTTTCTCGATTGGATAATATCATGAAAATGAATGAAACCGCTGAAAACCGCTTACTGACTGGATTAACCTGAAATATACAAAATATAAAAACAATAGAAGGGCAGATCATCTTGAGTATCGTTCCTATAGTGTTCCTTTTCATATTCTACAATAAAATCCCACCCAGTAAAGTTCACAACATGAAAATTGTAATCATATTAGAATGATATACAACCTAACTGCCTACCACCCCCCCCCCCAACCGCAATGTCTAAATGTTCTATTATATAAGGAATGCTTTCAATTCTGCACACGAATTCCACTCCATATACGCGGTACCTGCACGAGGCCTGTCCATGCTCTTGACAACGGAACGCGGTAATTGATCAACAAAATAATGACAATGACTCGTTCATGCACGAGTGGACATCACCAGTTCGTCCTCTTGCTTGGTGGGTTTCGATGTCATGCCCGCCTTGTATTGTAATGGAGGCAATTAAGTCTTGTGAATGCGGCTAGCTCATTTTAATACTTCAGCAATTAAACAGTCATTGTACGTTCACGGTGTTAGTATTATTGCGTTTAGTTTATTAGTAGAACCAGAGGCGGCAGCCCACAAGTGCAACTGCATCAAGTATTGTTTTAAGTTCAAAGTAAATAAGATCATCTGCTTTTTGCAGTTTTGCTTCATTAGAAGAAAAGTACTCAAAATCTTTAGTAGGGTGCAGAAGAACTTTAGCAGTAGGAATTTTACCTCAATGGCTACTACACGTTTTTAGAAAACAGAAATCATTGCGCACAATTTCTCACGAGTCACGTGACTGGATTCTTATTTAGCGCTTTTAACTAAGATCAAAGCGGTTTATTACATTATTACCCCTGTTCATTGGGCCAATTAAACATTCCAAATACCATCTCAGCTCCCTGGGGAGTATGCAGCATAGGAAGCTACTTCGATCACAATAACCATCTCTGCCCTTACAGGTACCCATTTACTCCTGGGTGGACTCGAACCCACAACCTGCAGCTTTACCCACAGACCACGAATCCAGTGCCCTTCACATCATACGTAAAGATGTGTGCACACGGGAACACGTTTTAAAAACCACCTTCAATTATTGTTTTCCTTGCTGAACACCATTTTAGTCGGAATAATTACACAAAATTTTTGGGACTAGCCTTAGACCTATTTTCACTCTGAGCAAGGGTGTGGAATTGGTGGTACGTTTCTAGGCAATTACTAATGTTTCCACGTGTCTTTAACAATGTTGGCATCTCTGTGGAACCAGAGGATAGAGATACCCACAGTGTACAATTGGCAGTGTAACACAGTGATTTGGTAAACTCTGTTTGACATGCTCTCAGCCAAGGGATGCTGGCGTACAGACTCATGAAGAACCCCAAAAGTTCTCCATTCAGTCTCTTTGGAACGGAATATTCTCGAGTC